CAACATGCAAACATCATCACCAAGCAACCATCACCAAGCAAGCATCACCATGCACGCGTCATCACCAAGCAACCATCACCATGCAAACCTCATCACCAAGCAACCATCACCATGCAAACTTCATCACCAAGCAATCATCACCATGAACAAGATCACTACACATACCATCCAAAACCCTTGCCAATAAAAGTTTTTTTCCAAGACCTAAAAACACAAAACCCCGAAAACACCGACACAAAACCCGCCCGGAAAGTGAACCCGCAGGGTAAAAAAGGGGTAGGGTATGACCCTATAAGTATAGTCGATATGCAGTGGCCAGGAGGTGGATACCAGCTCCTGCCTGGCTTTCGCTCCCAAGCTCCTGGATTCATAGTTAGGGTTTAGGGTTTCGGATTTAGGGGGGGTCTTAGGGTGTAGGGTTTAGGGTTTAGGGTTTCAGATTTAGGGGGTCTTAGGCTTTAGGGTTTAGGCTTTAGAGTTGAAGGTTTAATGTTTAGGGTGCAGGGTTCATATGTTTGTAATTGTGGCTGTTGTTATTCGTACTACTATAACTGTGTATTGCCAGTCTTTTCCTCAGTCAGTATTGCTATCGTTGTTTTGGTTGCCACTAGTTGTGTGACTCGCTACGGGTCAACACTTACCATGGTTAGCTGGCATGTTCATTGTTATTCATTGTTTGTGGATTCCTTCCTTTCGCATCCGGGCAGCATATACACATTTTATACGTAATTAGAAGTCGACCAAGACTCCAGTCCAGGGCGACCCTGTTCGGGGCTGGAGAACACATCGACTGGGTTCTGAGCCCGTCTCCTTAATCCTACTAAACCTCAGCCGGCCCGGCTTGACATCTAAGGCATCGATGGCTTCATGAAACAGACTCAGTGTTTGCTGAAGGCCATCATAATATACACTATATATATATATATATAAATATCGTGCATACAGCAGCAGCACAAGTGAGGTCCTTGAATGTATGAGAGCTTCATAGACGCTCCGGGTTCCTCTACATGTTTCCAGAAACTTTAGAATCAATTGATCCCCTGTTGCCAAGGACGAGGCCTCATCCTTAAACCCTATAACCCCCAAATCCTAGGTCTTAGACCCCAAACCCTAGTCATAACCCTAAACTAACCCCTAAACCCTAAAACCCTTAAAGCACCCTATCTAAACCAAGGAACAAGACCGGAACCAAGAACCAGGCGACCAAAGCAGACTGGCAGGCGGCTTACAGGAACTCTTGATGAGTTAGTGCTTCAGGATTTTACGGCTTCAGGATTTCAAGCTTTCGGGTTTGGGGATTCAGGAAATTGGGGATCTAGGTTATTTAGGGCTAGATCACTTTAGGGATTTAGTTGTTGTTTTGGTTCGGGGTTTTGAAGTTTCGGATTTGCTATGATCCGTAAACGCCGAGCCCCTCAGAACCTGAAGCATAAACTTGAATCCCAAGGCACCTGAATGCCTGTAGGTTTTTGTGGCAATCAGAGTTGCAAAGGTTCGCATAAGATGGAAGCTTGAATACGTAGAAGTTTTATACCACCCGAAGAGTTAGCCTCTAGTACACCACCCAAAAATAGTTTGGACATACCTTGCCCAGTTTGGGTAATGATACCACCAGTCAACCGATTAGACGATTATTCCTATACTCCCCCCTACACCCCACCCAATATATCAGTACTACTTCCCCATTATCAATACAAGTATAGG